TTTAACACCCACCAGTACAGTACACACTCATTCTCTCTCTCTCTTCTAGCACATCAGGACAGCAGTGACACACTCATTAGCGATAATAATGCACCAGAGGACATGACAGTGAACTTGAATGTGAAATTGTAGAAATGGAGAGAGAATGTTGGTGATGCTGCAGGAATAAAGCACACTCTGTCCTGAAGTGTCTCCAGAGGATAAAGCGCCGCCGCTTGATAGTGGCGTTAATAATGGATAGGCCTACACTGTAAAGCGGCTGGTTGCAATATGATTAGCCTATAGCAGAGTGGCCTATTTCCCCTGAATGACATGCACATATAGCCCCTGGCTGATTGCCCCTCGCCTTATAGGCCATCAAAATTGACTGCGTGCATTAATGGCGAGAGACACTGCAGGGTATGCTTTGCTGCGTAAAATCACATTTTAATCTAAGGGAATGTATAACGGTGCCTAATTAAAGAGGCTGCAAACATAACCGGGCCGGATGAAAGAGAGAGAGACAGAAAGAGAGAGGGGGTGTTTGTACAAGCTATCCTTTGTGAGGAAAGATGCTGGTAGCTTGATGCATGCAGGCTATCTATACAGTAAGCCGTGATGGTATGCTTAACCTACAGTCAAGGTGTTTCTTCTTGGGTCCGCTGACTTCATGCGTCGTGGCCTTGCAGACGGCTTTGCTGATGGCAGACCCGGTCATGCTGTGCTGCGCGGCGGCGATCCGGTCCGTCAAAGACTGTCCCGACATGTTACTGAGGAGGAGGAGGTGGTGGTGGTGGTGGACGAGGAAGCAGGCGGAGTGATGGTCGAGTCCGGGTGGGGGGATCCGGGGAGGACGTTCAAAATGTCTTTAGCGGCAGGGAGGAGGGTAGTGCCCTCTGCGAGAATCGGCCGTCTGAGCAAGTGGAGGTGGAGGAGGAGGAGGAAGACAGCAGCGTACACCGGCGAGGATCCGGTGGGAGAATTCATGCGGCGGCCAAATAAAACATAAGACGGTCACATCCAGGGAAGCTCTCTGTATTCAGTCGACGGCATCAAGATGAGCCAGCTGCAGAAAGTAAGATATTAGACTATGTAAATATGCTGAAAATCAATGTAGGCATCTATTCAGAGCATCAAAAGCAGCTTGGGATAATAGGCGAATATAAGACAATGTACAGTAGCCTAAGCTGTATCCCTGAAATAGCCGCTGCCAAGGCTGAGATACCGGCTGAATCCGAAATAACGATGGCAATAATCGAAGGACTACCGGTGATTATTATCAGATCTATGCGGCATCCCCTACGACTGAAGACTCATTTTTCAGAGACGACCCAGCATTGTCCTTTCCCTTTTTTCCCGTCTTCTTCGCCCGGTTTCTCCTCGGAATGTGCGCAGAGATCCGACAGCAAACACCTCTCTGATCCACACAGCACCCCGCGCTGGCTGCATCTAACCTTAGCTGGGGGTTTATTTATTTATTTTTTTTATCCTCCCCCCACCCCCCGAGATTTTTTTTTAATCTCCTTACAAAAAGGGTGTATTTCTGCGTTGAGGTTGCCGATAGGCCAATTTTTGTCAGTCAAACTTGTGTGTGTAAAATGGCAGTACATGAATCAGGTGACTGGGAAAGGAGGGCGATTGGGCCACTTCTCGGGTCCGGGGGAGGGCATCTTAAAGCAGAAGGCTGCCCCCCGTTATCTCAAGTCGAGGCAAAGCATCAGCTGGTTCATCACCTCGCTGCATACTGGGGGGGCTCAAGAGTGTGATGTGCAAACTCTCCCTGATTACCTGCTGTCCAATGAAATGTAGACACATCGGAGGAAACCCCATGATAACATCAACACAAGATGTTTCATTGTGTGATACTTCAGTGTGACTCCTACTGTCTCATAATGGCTGAAAATGTGGCTCTATTGTAGTAATCACAGTATTCCTATATGAAATCCTATGACCCCACAGTTTACAGGGATAGTTTATGTTGTTTTATTACTTTTATTGTTGTTAGCATAATAAAAATCCCAGCAAACACAGCCCATAACACTTCTGCAAAGGTCCCCATATGGTGACATTTAGCCTTGTGATAATCTTCCAGGAATGTTCCACTTTGGTTCATTTAGTTCCAAACAACATTCCCAGTATGTGTCTTAATGAGATTTCATGGTTAAGTAAATCTCACCAGGGAGAATTCAGTGATGGTCCCTGCTTTATTTTAAAGACCAACATCTGAAGAGGGTTTCTAAAAGTTCTGTGAAAATAATTTTCTAAAGGACCCACATTTTTGATTACAGGTAATATTACTAGATTAATTAGCCAAAGAGAAATTTACTGGAAAAATGTACAGAAATGCAATTTGGAAACATTCTCTTAAACTCACAACTAACAAATATTCACACCACTAAATATCATTGTTAAAGGGACGTTTGCAGTGGCTGTAGTACTCAAAGTCAATTATCTTTCTGGCAATTTTGAGTGTACAAATGTGCAAACTCCTTCAGAGGGATGTTGCTTTTTTTAGTAGGCCTATTAGCCCACAGTAGTAGATAATACTCTCTGGGACTGCAGCTAATGATTATTTTCATTATCAATTGTTCTGCTGAATATTCGGCTAGATTACTTGGTCTGTAAAATGTCAAAAAATACAAAAATTTCCAGTCCAAGAAGACGTCTTCAAATGTCTTTGTTTTGTTGACAAACAGTCCAAAAACCTAGCCCCAGTTGGTGCCTCTCTTGTATTAGCATATTTGGGTCACCATCAGTTTCACTAAAAGATAATTAACTGGTGATGTTTGAAAAACCCAGAAGCTTGTTTTATCAAACACTGTTCACATGGTATTTTCAGAATCCTCAAGTTTGCTGGCATGCTGCCATCTTTGTTTTGATTGAAACACAAATGCGCAACTTGGGAAACAAGTTAAAAATCTTTTTTGTCATCCAGTGGATGGAATATTTTTCCATCCAGATGTTAGAATAGTCTTTGAAGATTCTGGAAATACCGTCAGCACAGTGATAAGTAATAACCCTCTGGGGGTTTTCAAACATAGCTGGTTAATTATCTTTTCGACAAAATGATGGTTTCCTCCAGCCATTACTTCTTTCCATCCTCCAAAACCCAAAGATTTTCGGTTTACAATAATGACAAAAAAAAGAAGTAGCCAGTTAATCCAATGAATGTTTCGCCCCTGTTTTGCTCTCTTAGTAATTCAAGTCAATGTCAGATTTTGATGGTGAAATGTGTTGACTTAAGCTGAGAGAACACCCACATACAAACACTGCTTTTCCATGCTTACCATTGCGGGGAGGGGTGACAGCCGTTAACGGTAACAAATTTTTTTTTATTAGGGTTATTGGTTGCATTGGTTGAGACCACAACCGATCTCAAGTACTACAACACTAGTATTAATAACGCATTAAGGGATTAATCTTACATAAGCATTAGCAAAGAAATAAGGCTGTGGTCTTCAGCAGATGGATAATACAACCTTTGTAATGACAGATAGGAGGCTAGTTAACTGTCTGACACATCTGTCCAGTAGGTGACCATCGTCAAGTCGTTAGACAGTTTACATTTGCTCATTTTACTGCTAAGTTTTAACATAGTGGAACCATTTTAGTGTACAGATGTTGTGGAATTTTGATAATTCGCTCAGTAACTGAGCAAAAAAACAAAAAACAAGGATTACTGAACACTTTGAATAGAAGACGAAGAACATCGATACCACTCTCTAATCTGTCCATTACATACAAGGCTACAGCCAGTTAGCGTAGCTTAGCATGATGACTGGAAATGGTGGTGTGGGGGGGACTTTTTTCTGTCAAAAGATTTTAAAACACTGAGGTGTAAAAATGTCAATTCACCGTTCTACAGGTTAAAGCAGGGCTTAGGTTAAAGCAACAGCTTCAAAATAAGTTTGATTGTACACTGACCTGTAATAAGGTGAAAAAAGACTTTTGATTCACGCAAAGATCCTGAATGTACGACGCTGCTGAAAACATACTGCGCAGTATTTGGCACCACAAATACATTTTTTATTGCATGTAGTCTGGTCCACAGAGAATGCAGTTACAAATGTGTTGCATTACAAGTCCAGGCTATTACACATCAAAGGGATGAAGTTCACTATAAAGCAAATTGCTAATCTGAAAACATGGAATTTCAAATAACACTCCAGGCAGACTCAACAAAGGCGGCTTTTCTGTCGTCTCCGTGCTGAAAAGAGCAACAAATACCATGTTTTTGACTGGCAAGAAATTGATTTTAGGGTTGAATAAAATGCGTCATACCAATTATAGAGATAATAAATTGACAGTGAGTCGGGTTTGCTATCAAAATTATTTATATCTTGAGTAAAATATTTACCTTTTGAGGATGAAATGTCAACCATTATAGACTGAAACCACACATAGATACTCTAATGAAATGGAAATGATTGCTTAGCTAGAAGGAGATGCGACTATATCATGAAAAGACAGAGTAGTACTGGAAGAACCACAGATGTTGTAAAGTGGTTTACAAATTACCACTGCTATTCCTAATTAAAGAAATTCTCACTCCCACCAATAGCCTTTAGGTTTTATTAACTCATCGAATAGTCCATTTACTGGACACATCTGCTAAATTGACTCTCCTCGATTACCTCTCCAACATTTATGTTTATTACTGACTGCAAAAGATTCTCTTTCTCGACTGCATGCAAGAATAAATTTTCCAGTCCATCAATTTATGATCGAGTGTGTAAGAAAATCTCTTTTCATATTAGCAGACCAATTAAGAAGACACAGGATGTATCTTGGTGTGTATTAATTAGTGTTGTAGTCAATACCACCCAAACCGAGACCAAGTCAAGACCAAGACTAGACTTTATCGAGACCAAGACAAGACCAAGACTTTTAGGGGCTGAGACAAAGTCGAGACCAAGACCGACGGAGGGCGAGACCAAGACCAGTTCCAAACAATACATGAAATGCAATAAAATGTTGAATGAGATCATAGGTACTTCTCAAATTGATCTGAAAGATTCACATTCCCATTAAAACACCCACATACAAACACTGCTTTTCCATGCTTACAATGGCGGGGAGGGGTGACAGCCATTAACTGTAACAAAATTTTTTTAATTAGGGTTATTGGTTGCATTGGTTGAGACCACAACCGATCTCAAGTACTACAACACTAGTATTAATAACGCATTAAGGGATTAATCTTACATAAGCATTAGCAAAGAAATAAGGCTGTGGTCTTCAGCAGATGGATAATACAACCTTTGTAATGACAGATAGGAGGCTAGTTAACTGTCTGACACATCTGTCCAGTAGGTGACCATCGTCAAGTCGTTAGACAGTTTACATTTGCTCATTTTACTGCTAAGTTTTAACATAGTGGAACCATTTTAGTGTACAGATGTTGTGGAATTTTGATAATTCGCTCAGTAACTGAGCAAAAAAACAAAAACAAGGATTACTGAACAGTTTGAATAGAAGACGAAGTACGTCGATACCACTCTCTAATCTGTCCATTACATACAAGGCTACAGCCAGTTAGCGTAGCTTAGCATGATGACTGGAAATGGTGGTGGGGGGGGGGACTTTTTTCAAAAGATTTTAAAAAAACTGAGGTGTAAAAATGTCAATTCACCGTTCTACAGGTTAAAGCAACAGCTTCAAAATAAGTTTGATTGTACACTGACCTGTAATAAGGTGAATGGAGTCTCTGTCATTGCCACTCTAGACCCGGGGCACCTGCATGTAACATTGGAATCCCAGTGCAGGAAATCTATCACGACAACGGCGTAATACTTTACGGTACCATCGGACTCCAACATGACTCTGCAGCAAGCAAGCTATACAAAGAATGGACATAACGTTAGCTAATGGCAGAGGCAAAAAGACTGAAGAGGACGTTGTTGTTGATCTGCAAGGATCCAATGTATATTTTCATCAAAACCCAAACTTTTGTGTGTCAGATATCATGTTGGCCTGCAGTGGGAACACAGTCCATGAGCATTGGTACAAAGCTCTACCTGTTTTACATTTTTTTAAGGCATTTTTTTTACAAACAGTCCCCGAGCCAAACTTATCTCCGTGGCCATAGCCTCACAGGTGTTCACTTCCTGCTTGTCTGTGACTGGTCAGGAGTCATCATTTCACACATGATGAGCAGTTGAGATGATCCTTCGTGGCGTTATTGTATCCAGACAAGACGAGGGAGCTGGGGTCTCGCTCCATCATCGGGCTCTCCTCGTTGTTCAGGATGTGCTCTACCAAGCAACGCGCTGCTTCCTCAATGTTTGCATTTTCCTGAGGGAGAGTATAAAAGAAGAGCCCTGTAAAGAAATCATTTACTTTCTATCTAGAGCACAAGCAGCCATAGTGGCGTTGCTCGATTGGCTCACCACTTTGGTCCAGACTGAAATATGTCAACAACCACTGAATGGACTGACAAAGATGAACTCTACTGACTTTGTAGATCCCTTGACTTTTCATCTAGCGCATGAGGTTGACATTTGTGGTTCAGTGTAAAATATCTCGATAACTATTAGCTGGATTGCTCTGACATCTGCAACAGATATTCAATGTTTCTTGGGGATTTAATAACTTTGGTTTTCCCTTGACTTTTCATCAGGTCAAAATTTCAATCCAGTACTTTTGTTTTTGACCAAATGGGGTACCTGAAAAAATAATGACATATCAGCAAATCTGTAGATACATGCTAATTAGCCAATGTTAGCAAACTAATAGGCTAAACTAAGATAATAAACATGTTAAACGTTATACTGGCCAAACATCAGCATGTTAGCATTGTCACTGTGAGCATTTTAGCATGCTCATGTTAGCATTTAGCTCAAAGCACAGTGAAGTAAAGCCTCACAGAGCTACTAGCAAGGTTGTTGATACACTACCCTTATGTACTGTATGACCAAGACCTTTACTTTTACTTTTGTGATAAAACCATTAAAAGGTTTTTCTGTCATGATAAACCACGATTTAACAGAAGTACAAGTAGAGAAGAATAATTTAGTTAGCAAACTGACTCAGCAATGTCAGTTAAAAAATAAAATAAAATAAAATATGTAACAAACTAGTTAATATGTCAGATATGTCAGATGTACTGCTTAAGAATTCACCTTTTTTTTTATAATAGGAGGACTGGGTAAATTCTTCTTTCAAACGTTCACAGTCTTGCTTTAAAACAAAAAAAGAGGTGGTATTGTGCTCATTTTCAGAAATCTTATTTAGGGGTTGTACCAGAACAGGTTTACATGGTTTAATTTTCCAAAAACACCATATTTCTTCATACTGCACATACTGCAGCTCCTCTTTTTACCCTGTATGTTGAAGGCTTCGTTTTAGCTATGAAGTGATACATCTTGCCTCTACATAATCTTTGTTGGGAGCTGCACATACCCAGTTCCTAGTTAAGGACTACTAGCCAATCAGAAGCAGAAAATCCGGTAAACACGGCTTCAGTTCAGCTGTGTATGTTCCCGATACCAGTTTAGCAACATAGACTGGAGCAAGAGTTTCAGAGTGGTGAGTTATTAATCTGTAACAAATGTATCTTTCATCCATAAAGTTTTAACTGAGCTCTGTCTCTACATCACAGTAACAACTTTATGTCCATTGACTGCCTGGAGGGTAGCTAGTGTTTGGAAGGGAGAGGAGAGGTGTGCTGCAGCTCAGTGTTTTTCTACCGGTGTTTTTGAGGGTGTGTCGGAGTAGCCGCTTGGTGAGCATTATATGACGTGCATTTAGCTTTCATCCCTGTGTTGTTACAGGGATGAAGGGGAAGCGGCTGGACTACAAACGAGCTGTTTTCAGGCAGTGTGTTTTCTGTGGGAGATGGGAACTCCCTTTGGGCTGAACTTTGGGCTTTTTCACTTTGCAAACCTGTTACATGCACAAAAAAGATATATAACTCAATAAAGGAGAGGGGAAAAGCCAAAAACCATAATACCACCTCTTTAAGAGCATTTTTCCTTTACTCACCCTTTTGGCTTTCTTTGGTGTAATGTGATTACAGCCAGGTAAGCAGGACAATGTGCTGTTTGTGGTGTGCATATTACATGATTTCTGGGTAGTAAGGTTAAAAAATGTGCTGCCTCTTGTAGCCGTTTAGTAGCCAAGTCCACAAATATCTAATGCAACTCATATCACAGTCAGAATAGAAAATACAGCATATCAAAAAGTCTGTTTTTGACTTAATTGACAATCTCCCTTTTCATTCTGATATTGCACACTAAATTAATGAGTAGCCAGGATGTCACCGTTAAAACGTGTTTCTGTCCTGTCTGCTGAGCCTTCACGTTCACTAACTACTGTCTCTGACTTGCACCCTGGTGTGTAACTCATTAGACGGGCTCTGGATGAGTGGAAAAACATAAGGCCAATTCACACCAGGCTGCAGACGTTTCTCTATTTGTCTCTCAAGAGCACAGCAAATATTGTTTTCTACCTTTTAGTATTTGCACAGTAATTTTTCTGTATCATTTATTTTACATAAATAACATAAAATGTGTAGTTAACCAGACTGTGTAAATTATGTATAGAGCAGCTGACAGTGATTTAGCCTCAAATTAAGTATTTTAGTCTTTGCTTCAAGTCAAGCCCCTTTACAGCACAATAGCACTCTTTCCATTTGGAGGTTAATCAAAAAACCCTCTAACCTTTTATTCATGGACCAAATTTGCATAAAAATCACTAAATGATTTGTGGAAAATGTTACCACTGCCTCAGTCTAGCTCCAAATGTCTTTTCCACTGATTTGACTGATTTGAAAAACTGCAGTAATTGCCAGTGTTTCCCCTCTCGTACCTTTGCTGAGGTCTCGAACCAGCCAACAAAGCCATTCTCCCTGCAGAAGGAGTCGAGTTTGGGCTGCTGGGAACCCAGCTGATCTGACTTATTGGCCAAGAGCACAGCTGGAACTGGCCTCCCATGATTCAGGGTCACCTTAGGAGACACGAAAGATGGGTTACACGCTGGTTGTACTTTTTAGGCTATTTTAAGAGCTAACAGAACTTGTTGTAAAAAAATACCCTTGTAATATCTATCTTTAGGTATGTAGAAAATAACAAATATAACTTTCAGAGCAAGACACAAATTGTCTTATAAACCGTACAAAGTAAAGGTGTCATGCTCGTACCAAGTCTTCGACTAAGGCTAAAGGTAAAATAAATGATAATTCTCTGTAGGTTCATCACTACAAGCAACACCTTTCACATTGTCACTTTTTATTGTTACATTTGATAGGTTGTTATTATAAACATACTGATTATAGCCACTTTAGGGTGTCGGTATGCTTCAATGGAAGTGCCTCTTGGATAGTAAAATAGCATCTGAAACCCCATCCCCACACACCTTTCCGACATCAGAACTCAAAATTTCTATAACTTTTCGGAAACCAGTTGCCCACTTCACCCTGCAATTGGCCAGGTATGTGAAGGTGAAAAGGAAAACAGGGTTTGAACTTTCTTTTTTTAATTTTTCACACAATTACTAATCTTTCAGTTTTTTGTATAAGTGTAGCTACTACTGCAACACTGTGCCTTCCAGGAAAAATTGTCCGACATGTGGGCCATTTTACCAATTTGAGTGATGATCACGTCTCGCTCCTCTGTATGACAGCAGGCTTTTCACCCTATATTTTTGAGTGTGACCTTTTGAAACAGTTATAAACACTTTTTCCACATACATGATTGGATCACATATAGTGCAAACTAGTTCTTTTGAGCATATTGATACCTTTAGCTGACTACAACAAGTAAGGCCATTGAAATACTACAAAGAAAATATGTAGAATAAAATGTGGATCACATAGTATGATTTTTTACAGCTCTGAAAGGGACAGAATGTAAAGAGAGACAGAAAGGCCTCGGTTTGTGCTTTTCTATTGGATGTTGACCACAGGTAGGTCCACTATAGAGGCATCACCTTAGAGTCCAAGTCATCCTTCCACTTCAACACAGCGTCAAACGTGGAGGCCCTCGTCACGTCAAACACCACCATGGCTCCCACCGCTTCCCGGTAATAGACACGAGTCATGTTCCCATACCGCTCCTGTCCTGGGACGCATGGACAGTCATCAGACACACATACACACACACAGACATACTTATGTAAAGACACATTTCAAGCCTGTAAAATTAACTCATAGCATGATATATTAGTGACAAATATAGGGAATGTGACTTTGTGTGTGTTTATTCAACAGTAGCCTCGATCATGTGGCAGATATTATGAGCATGGGATCACTTGAGTCACAGCAGGCACAAGCTCGACATTCCTCAACCAGGCATGAAACGACAGGGAGGGACCCAGGCATCCAGTGGACGGACATAAACTGTCGCTGGGAGTTCACATTACTCACTGCAAAAAGTCTCTTTCACGTATTCTAGGGCAGCAGTCTGTCTTATTATATTTTTTAACAAGACACACTTGAAAGGAGTTGATTGTAGACTATTGGAAAACAGTTATTATTATTAATCTTACTGCACTGGCCTCATGATTTAAACAAACACTTTGTGGGATATCTTATGAGTGTTACTGCTGTCAAATGATTAACTAGCAGCCATGTTTATATTCTCTTCATTAATCATATATTTAGCTAGCTACTAGGCCTCATTGTGTGTTATAGCTGTATAACAATCAGTCTGCTATCCACATGGAGACTGGCTACACCACTGTTTATTGAGTTGGAGAGGAGTGGCCTCCCCCTCCCCCTTCCCCTCAAATTAGATCACCCAACTGTAAATCACATGGGCGCTGCTGAGATCATTTGAGCCTGCGCTCTCCTCATGATGGCTGCCGTAATAAAAAAAGAATCATCCATGTAATCAATACAGTCTATGGATTAAATGCACATTTGTGTTAAATCTAAATCTATTTAAACACATCTTCTGCTTAAGCTGTTGCTTCATTTATTGTCATTTTCTTTCTTATGAAAATGTATGAATTTAAATGTGACAAAGAGACATCATGTTAAGACTTATAATAAATAAGTAAGTAAATATTCTAATTTCATGTGTGTGTTTTTCACATTCATTTACACTTCAAAGGATTTAAATTATTGAGCAAAACTGCAGCCAGCAAGGTCAAGAAAAGACCATGTTTTAGATTTCAGATTTTGTGAAAATCATTGCTGCAGTGGTTGTGTGAGACAGAACAGGCACATTTTGTTTTTGAGTCTCAAAATGCAAAATGCAACTTCAATTTATCAACATTTTATCAGCATCAACAGGACTTAGACATCACTTGATAAGTTGGAAATATTTTGCTGTGCAGTTTTTGTTTTAACATGCTCCTGCTTTACTTTAACTGCCCTCAGCTCAGATTGATTTCAAAAGCTTATTTGCTGAAGCAGCTTTAAGAACTTAACAGGTTTGAGGACAAACAAAAGGTTTTTTGTTCCAAAGATCCCATAACAAACACTGTTTCCTACAGAAAATAAATCCTGATCTACAAGCAGAGATTTATAACAGTCACCTGATGCACATTAAGCCTGTAAACCAGGATGTAACGTTATGGGGTCGTTGAAGTTTAACAGACCTGCTATGTCCCACAGCTGTAGCCGGATCACAGTGTCATTGTCCCACTGCAGCACCTTCAGGGCGAAGTCAACCCCGATCGTGGCTCGGTAGTGCTGGGAGAAGATCTGATGGACGTACCGCTTGATGATGGACGTTTTCCCGACTCCCAAGTCTCCGATAACTAGGACTTTGAATAAAAGCTCCTGCTGCATGGCTGTAGCTCCGCAGAGAAAACAACTCCTCAACAGAGTTATAGCAACTTTTTGAAGGTTGCCGGTGCACAGTAGCCTATCGCAACAAAACTGTTAACTGCAGTAGGCTAGTCTAAAGTTATGGACAGTAGAAAAATGTATTAGTACAACAGTTTCTTCCGTCCGAAGCACTGAGAAAAATGTTATTAGCATCCAACATTATCGAGGTTTGAGAAAGATGCGGTAAAAATCTCCTCAGTAAATCCGTTTAATCACGCTTGACAGTCTGAATCCGTTTAGTTCACTGACGGCTCTCAGCTCATGTGAGCAACTCCAATTCAGCTGCTTTTCACTGCTGGTGCGTTCAGGTGGTCCTCGTACAAATCGTTTTCAGAATTTGTCATGCATTTTCTTGGGTAGGCTCACGAGGACCTTTACGTAAGTAAAAGTATTAATAATACAGTTTTATTCTCTTACAACTAATTGTCCTGGATTCAAAATGTTACTTGAGTAAAAGTAGGCTACATTAGTTTAAACAGGCTATGTATCAAAAGTAGGCTATAAAGTCGCCCCATTTAGAGTTTTATACCTGCTATTATATTAAATCATTGGATTATTATCACATATGCATTAACTTGTAAGATGCATTTTACGGTTGTAGTCGTTCGAGGTTGAGCTCATTTTAACTAGGCTACTTTAAATAGGCATGATTTATATAGTTATAGGACGAAATCATAACATTTAAAGTATGTTTATATGGGCCTAAGCCAACAGTAGCCTATTTATTTTTCTATTTGAAATATGTAGCCTAATATTTTGAGATTAAACGGGGGAAAATATAATAGCTCTACATTTTTTATTTATGTAGCCCACATTTTATTGCTTAAATTATGTATATTTGTTTTAATTTTAATTTAATTTTAAACGTTTGTTCAAGTTTGAGTAAATAAATAAATACAATACTAATAAACAATACTCGATTGCAAATGTACCCATGTGTTGTTGGGTGATTTTATTTTTGTGCCAAATAAGGATTAGGTTAATATTTACAAAATGAGAGTAAATTAGTATATTCATGTGCGTTCACTAATTAAATTACATACTTTTTTGCTCCTACAGCCTTTGAAGGCAGCAGCAGGACCCCCCTGATGTATGCTGCTGCGCTGCTGTGTGTGCAGTTACGGTAATGGTGCTGATGAGGGCGAGGAGGATGGTGTGTGTGTGTGTGAGAGAGATGCTGCTGTTGTGTCCTGCTGCCATTTCATCCGCGGATCCTCAAGGCAATATCAACAGTCCTGTTCAAATTAACCTTCAGCTCAGATCATCACTCAACCGGCTGGTTTACGCTTCACAAACAGGTCAAATGTTGATGGTAGACATAGAGGCCTAGTTAACATGATGCATGTGATTGGTGCAGGTTATTCCTGTAAGTAATAACATAACAACTGCTATCTTGGAGGCGCATTTTTAAAAGACATAATCATCGATATGGGGTTTGCTTTTCACAGGTACTGAGAACTTTAAGGTAGGTCCTTAGGCCTATTTGTTGATTTTTATTAGATTGTTGTCCTGAATATGAATCATGAAAGTAAAAAACACTCATACTAGCATTAGGCTAAGTGTGCTGGGCCTCATGATTCAAACAAATCACTCATCATTTTTAAAAAAAACTTTGTGGAACATCTTATGAGTGTCACTGCCGTCAAATGATTAACTAGCAGCCATGTTTATATTCTCTTCATTAATCATATATTTAGCTAGCTACTAGGCCTCATTGTGTGTTATAGCTGTATAACAATCAGTCTGCTATCCACATGGAGACTGGCTACACCACTGTTTATTGAGTTGGAGAGGAGTGGCCTCCCCCTCCCCCTTCCCCTCAAATTAGATCACCCAACTGTAAATCACATGGGCGCTGCTGAGATCATTTGAGCCTGCGCTCTCCTCATGATGGCTGCCGTAAAAAAAAAGAATCATCCATGTAATCAATACAGTCTATGGATTAAATGCACATTTGTGTTAAATCTAAATCTATTTAAACACATCTTCTGCTTAAGCTGTTGCTTCATTTATTGTCATTTACTTTCTTATAAAAATGTATGAATTTAAATGTGAGACATCATGTTAAGACTTCATGTAATTTCAGATTTTGTGAAAATCATTGCTGCAGTGGTTGTGTGAGACAGAACAGGCACATTTTGTTTTTGAGTTGCAAAATGCAAAATGCAACTTCAATTTCTCAACATTTTATCAGCATGATTAGCAACTGAACAATTTTAATCCCTTCAAAAGATTCAATGCATAACATTATTCTAATATGTAGTAATATTGATTACTCAATTGGAAAAATGGATATGTCTTCTTTGTCATATATGATAGTAAGCTAGCTATATTTGGGTTTTGATTGTTGGTTGGACAAACAATGATGTTTGAAGCCCTAACATGAATGACAGTGACTGAGTGGATGATTTTATTTTGTCACAGGTTTTATTTTGGAGAGACATGGAGACAATATGGCTTTATCAGTTTCGTCTGATCGTCATCGGAGACTCCACGGTTGGCAAGTCGTGTCTGATCCGAAGGTTCACCGAGGGCCGCTTCGCCCAGGTGTCAGACCCAACTGTGGGAGTGGACTTCTTCTCCCGTCTGGTGGAGATCGAGCCGGGCAAAAGAATCAAACTACAGATCTGGGACACTGCAGGACAGGAGAGGTTCAGGTAAAGACACAACTCGTTCTTTGATCCTTCTCTTCATCTGTCCACAAAATGGAACCATGACCTATAAACAAATATCACACAGATTTCTGTTGCTTATCTATGTTAAGTGCGTTTTTAGTTTGTCACTTTGACACTGTTGCACTGGGTGACATATCCCACATGGACATGGGCATTGTAGTCATTTCTGAGTCAAGAACTGCTGCTGTAAATAATCCCCCCTAAAACTGTGTAGCAAAGTTGACATTCATGCCGAAGACCAGAGTACTGTCACTATCCAAATTGTGATGTTCCTTTTTTAACTATTACCCCAGTCTTTTCCTCACCTCATCAAAGTGTTTAATTGCCTAACTCTAACCATATCTTAACCATGGTTAAAGGATAGGGCTGGAAATATACTACTGTCAGGTATTATCAGCAAATCCCATCAAAAATACCTAAACCTACAATGTATTTGTCATGGTTTGGGGTTTTAGTTTTGTATTTCCAGTTTTATGTTGAAATACGGCACGTTTCGACCAAAAGGGATCTCTTTTCAAGGAACTCACTGCGTTTGCAGCTGATCTGCAGCTCTTGTCAGCTGGAAATGTTTTAATAACCTTCCAAACTGTCGCAATTTTATTTTTGTGTTGCTTTCTCTGTGCTGGAGTTACTTTAAGAACTTTATGGCTTTATTCAGTTTGTTCTTAAATATGTAACAAACTTTATCGTGCGTCTCTCCATTACACTCCCACACAAAAAAGCTGTTTTAATGGTCAAGCATTGCCTATAGTTTTTCATTATCTGCCAATCAAATCTGATGTTCATTTATAAATTTTACTCATGGATCGTGGTTACAAATAATGATTCTTTTGCCTAATCATCTCAGGTCTTTAGACCACGGTGGAAACGCACACAACAATGGGCTGAAGGAACCTTTTAGTTTCTCCACAGGTTCCTAGTTCCGGGGTATAGTTCCTTTGGTCGAAACGCGTCTATAGTCATTCCTCATGTGTCTGTTTGTTAGCCCTGCCCTGATTACTTTTACCTGCGTCTAGTTATCATTCCCTCACTAGTGTATTTAGTCTGTGTTCCCTTGTCTCAGTGCCAGTTCGTCTTCATTCCCGTGTCAAGTGAACTGTGTTTTGGATTGATTTTCTTGGACCATGCCTGTTTTTTTGTATTTTGCCTACTCCCTATTGGCTTTGTTTGCCTGTTTAGACTGCTTTTCCTGGTTTTGACCTCTGTCTGCCTCACCATCATATAAGTCTTTACGTATTTACATTTACTCATTTGGCAGACGCTTTTATCCAAAGCGACTTACATTTGAGGAACAACATACAAGCATCAACAGAGCATCAAATACAAATCTACAACTGACAATACATACTAGTAAGAGCAGCAGTAAGTAGTAGTAAGAGCTCATAGTACATATCACATCAATGGGGTAAATACCTAGGGAAGGAGGTAAGAGTTAACAAAAAGTGCAATCAATACAAGATCATTGTAAGGAATAGAAGAAGAAGAGCACAGGACGTGCATGTTAGAGGTGTTATAAGATGAAGTGTTCTCGGAAGAGATGAGTTTTCAAGAGCTTCTTGAAGTTAGAGAGGGACGCCCCTGCTCTGATGGCGTGTGGTAGCTCGTTCCACCATCGTGGTGTCACAGTATTTTGGGCTTTTAATGGAATTTTTTGACAGTAAGAAAAATAAATTATATTTCCAGACTTATCCTTTAACATATAGTTGTACAAAGAACTTTAAAAACATCAATGTGATCCAGGTTTTTGCAGAATTGTCCACAATCAACAGTCTTAATGGTGGTAGGGTTTGTAATTTGCTACAAAAATTAATTTCACAACCTATTTATCAATCCAGATCTATCACCAGAGCTTACTACCGTAACTCAGTAGGTGGACTCTTACTCTTCGACATCACAAACCGCCGCTCCTTCCAGAACCTCCATAACTGGCTGGAGGAGGCCCAGAGCCATGTCCAGCCGCACAGCATCGTCTTCCTGCTGGTGGGTCACAAGTGTGACCTTGAGGACCAGCGGCAGGTGACCCTGCAGGAGGCACAGAAGCTGGCAGGGGCCTTTGGGATGCGCTATGTGGAGACATCGGCACGAGAAGCTATCAACGTGGAGAAGGTGTGGATGAGATTTTTTGTTTATGTAGTCTACATGATATAAGCTGTTATTCTCTTATTGTGCATTTGGCTTCATCCCCAAAAACGCTATACGTTTAGGAACATGTACTTTGATGTAACTGCATAATGTAAGGGACTGTATGTCAATCTGGTTTTGTTTCTTTTCATAAGGCGTTTGTGGATCTGACGAGGGACATCTTTGAGCTGGTACAGAGCGGGGACATCAAGATCCAGGATGGCTGGGAGGGTGTAAAGAGCGGATTTGTCCCCAACACTGTCCATTCCTCTGAGGAGGTCGCCAAGGGCAGCCGGCAATGCTTCTGCTGATTTACCACATACCTGCGGTATGTTGGGTGACAGGTGGTGATACTTCAGTGGAGATGTCTTTTACTTTGGCTGCTCACCAGGCCCGGTTTTTGACTGACATGGACATGTAATACTTCCCTGCTCAGTTACACACTTTACTGATAGATAGATAGATAGATAGATAGATAGATAGATAGATAGATAGATAGATAGATAGATGACTGTAATACACAAATTTTAAATCTGAATCAGTGATACCAAAACTGACCCATGCCTCTTCCTTTTCATGCATAAAATATTGCAAACTTGTATGGACTATATCCAGTGAGAGACATGATACGCTACAAATTCAAGTGGCTCAATTCATAAGTGGAGGATGAACTCCACTTTTTTAATAGTATGGTAGGTACCCAGTTCATGTTTAGTACTCTGTTTTGGTTTTGCTGGTGAGAACAGTTAAGACATTTAAGCCTTTTGTATGGAACCTCCAGTGTGTTCAATATTAAATACATTTTAAAACATTTTGAAATAAATCATGAATAAATGATGTAAAATATACAAATGAACAAACAATTTGTGAAATAATTGAAAGTTTTAAAATTCGAGTCATTCTTATGAAAAATTCATTCCTATTTTCATAATAGTTTTATTGGAGTAAATTTTTATTTTATAGACATTTTTATTTCAAAATGCCCTTTTATCTCCTTTACATTTTTTCAAAATGTCACTTTTCATGACATGCCTTTCAGCCAATCACATGCTCTCTCTTAAGATAGCTCAACAACTGCAACCAAATGTAGCCAGCTCCTCTTAGCTAGAGCACAAGAGTAACTAAACTAAACCTCTTTAGCTAGTCTTGGCCTAACAAGGCTGCTCATATGTAGTTAGCTAACTAGCTAGAGGGAGCAATAAGGTGGCTAATTCACAATAACTGTGACATTGTTGTTGCTCTAGCTAAAAGAAGCTAACAGGCAAAATCTGATTGATATCGTAGAGCTAGCTTAAGAGAGGCAGGGGGGCATGTGACTGGATGGAAGGTGAGGGGCCGGGATGTCACTGTCATGAATAAGGGATGTCACTGTCATGAATAAGGTGACATTTGAAATAAAATATAACATTAGTAAATAATAAAAAAGTGGCATAAAATAAAACTGTAACAGATGGAAGAAAATGCCATGATATAAAACATACTTTTGAGAAGAAAAAAAACATTCTGTTATGAACTGAAAATTAATGAAAAGACTGATGAAATAACATTTCTTTATCATTTTAGACTTAATTTCTTGTAATTCTTTTTCATAAATATTGAACTCTGTAAATATTGAACACCTTCAGACTCCATACTTTTGGAAACTGATTTTATGGGTTTGTTTGAATATGAAGCCTGCTCCTAGACATTACATGACACCTTCGGGTCATAATCTCTTCTTACACTTATGGCTTTATAGATCCAGTCACATCCATATTTACAATTAATGCATGCCTCCATTTTAAATCCAAATTTCCAAAGAAAGAACATAATTTTTTAGATTTGATAAAATGTAAATAGCCATTTCACTCATCTCATTTGACAGTACCTGGACTCTCATCAGAAAGAGCAGATTTAATGAAGTTTCTAATTTGTTGTGAATCAGGCGCTATGACAAAGTATGCAAATCACTGGAAGTGAACAAATTAGAATTATTTGAACTCCACTACAGTTGCACACGCTTCAGGTCAGATTGGTGGCATTAATATTAACTAGTTAATTCAACAATTTAGAAAGAATAGTGAGTGAGTACATTTATTTTAACTGCTCAGTGGAAGCATCTCTTTCGAGTGCCTTTTGGAGGAACGAAGCCTAAATACACGCAACCAACTTCCTGTTCATAGAGACAACTGTGTGTTTATCCTGTAAATTTTAAAGTCTAAACTGTAAGGTGACAGGAAACACATTGGTTACACACTACACAATCTGTAAATCATTTATTTGAAACCAAACCCTGACAAAATTGACTGTTTCATGTTGTTGTGACTCTGGGATTATTATAGCACAAGTGTTATCAGAATCTTAATAAAGATTTGCCTTGTGCAAAGATTGGAGGTTCACGCCTCTTTGTATCATTAAATTGTCATAATTTGGGGTAACAGGCAATATTAATAATGTAATGTAATGCTGCATTCGGCCACTAGAGGGCAGCCTTATTGTGTGGGGAAAAAACTATTTCAACAGTTTTGTGTTTTCAGCAGCGGTGGAAAGAATCCAAGTACATTTACTCAAGTAATGTACTTAAGTACAAATTTGAGGTATTTGTATTTAACTTGAGTATATCTCACTTTATACTGCTTCACTAGATTTCAGAAGGTTGCTTTGTTAAAGATTGAACTCACCAACAGTACAGACAAGTAAAGCTGAAATGCAGTAGTGAATGAAGTAGGGGAGACCGGGTATGGTTGTGACACTTTTTGTTTCAGCAACTATAACTTGCTGAATTTTGTAGCTAGAGTTCTCTAACTTTCATACAAAGTATCCACATGTGTTCACTACATATGACACTAATTCGACAAGAATATCACAGACCTCCTGAGTTAATGTCAAATGCATAGTGTGCATAGTGTTACCACCTACCCCACTACCAGGGTAGGTGGTAACACATGCTGAGATAAGTTGTGACAATAAGACAAAAGAAGCAAAAACAGATGATAGATGATACGCTTCAAAAACAGGTAGTGATATAAAAGAACAATGTTTCTCTCTCACTGTAACAGACATGCACATGTTTGTGTATGTAGATTTATCTAGCCTATAGAATAAAGGTTCTTAACAATATACTTAATAAATACTACTACAATGTACTTAATTAAAGAACATTTATGTACATCCTTAGGTAAAAAATAATAATAATAATAATGTAATAAATACTCTTAATCAGAGTCACAGTCAGTACTTGAAGTGGGCCAGTACTCACCGGTATGCAGTACCAGCACTTCTAATTTTTACTCTTTGGCGTACCATGACTGTTTCTTGCGCACTGGCACTTCTCACAAGCTGCCCGTACACTTCTCTGCCCTCTCCATCAGCGGAGACGGAGTATGGAAAAGATCGAGTGCCGATGCACACGCCGACAAGTGAACAACATGTGAATGGGGAGTACTTGTAACAGTGCTGACAAATGAATGCTGGTAACCCGGGAGTGCAGGCTTGGTGGGCCAAGTCTGCAAAGGGCACTCTGTAAAATCTTAAAATCATTGTAATAGTTGTAGGGGAGAGCGGGGTGAGTTGAGCCAGTTTTTACTTGAGGTGTCTTTAAAGTGAGGACAGTGTGTAGTCTGGCATTGTTATAGTGACACAAAAGGTGACAAGAAGTGGATATTCACATTCGGTTACTTGTTTATCATAATTTTTTAGTGCAACTTATCACATGTTATCAAATTTAGTTTAAAGGCGCCACTCCTCAGCTCAGTCACATTTACACCACAGAGGGCTCTTAGTTATTGTATATGGACCGGACAGAGAGGAATGACAGGAGGGAAGGTAAAAGTAGACTGTATGGTCATTTTGTCAGAGGCAAAGGTGGGAGGAAGAGACAGAGGGAGGACAGAGAACCTGTGCATTTTTTGTGTATTCATTGTTAAGGCAAAGAAGCACAATATGAACGCCTTCTGTCACATACAGTTCCTCAGGCCTCTGGACTTAATGACACTCGTTATTTACCCTCAGCGTGTCCGTTACTCTTGACAAACATGTTAAGTGTTTTGAGTGAGTGATGGCCTTTTGACACAAATGTTGTGCTGCGTTGTTCAGCACAAAATATTGTGGTGCTTGCTCCTTAGCTTGAATAAAATCTAAAACCACTAATACATACAACATAATTATAGATGGGATGCAGATTAATTCTGTAGAGATACAAATTGAATTGTTGTAGTCCTATTGCTGAATGATTTACATAAGAAGCTGCAAATTTAGTAAAACAACCCAAGGATAGGGTGATATGTAACTGACACAGATGACATAACAATAACATATTTCAGTGAGTCACCGATAATGGTCAGAAAAACTGGTAGCATATAGCGAATACTGACAAATGTTTGTCTTTTGACAAGTGAATCAGACAAAACTTTTCTGCCTTAAGCATGTATAATTTTTTTTATTAAAAAAAACATTGAAAATACAGCATGTTTTATACATGACAGCCATATGTACAGGATATAAAACAGAAAGACAAAAATAGATCATTGCTGTTAATGCAATAGCACTGAGAGGGGAAAAAAATAGCACTGATTTTTTATTTTCTTTGAAAAGGCATGAGGGCTGGCTATGAAGAGCTGTGTGATGACACGTCACATTACCTTTTAATGATAGATTAACTATTCACAGAAAATATACCAGTTCCAATCTCTAGTGAAAGTCCACAGCTCATGAAGCATTTCAATAGGCCAAGATACAGCTGCCCAGCCCAGCCCCGTTGCCTTCCTCAGGCATGAGGATGGTTCTTCAGGCACCAATTTATTGATTTACATCATCTAGAAACACTAGCTGAATCCAAATCTACCCTTATTGTACCCCCCACCCCCACCCTCCACAAAGACATGTCAAGTTCTGACATGTCTAAAGGAGGTGCATTCTTTTTTAAGCAAAAACAGTAAAGATGTTTAGAGACATCTTTTAAGCATCTGCAGAATGCCAACATTACAGCATCAATTGTCAAATGACATGCCTTCATGTGTAATTTACAAAAAAAAACACCTCTTACCAAATTGTCACATTTACAGAAAGTACGTTTGTATAATTTATAGCTTTAAACAAATACTGTACATTCTACAGTATAGCACTTTACTAAAAAACAAGAAAATACTATTAACAATAAGTTATTTTGAGTCCATAGAATTGGGATAAACTTTTTTTAAATTACACAATTTAGAGAACAACTTTTAGTGGTCATTCTTTTTTGGAAAGCTCAAGTTTCCCAAAACACCTTCATTTGGTCAGGAATATCAATTAAATTATTTGGTGATGCAAGACATTTGCAACAAAGCAGGAAAAAAAAACAATGTGGAATCATAAGGGAGACGTATAAAGATCAGCACACTAAAAACTGTACATGTAAAGTTTAAAAATAAAATAAAAAGAATATTAACAGATTAAAATTGATATGAAAGGGCAAAACAACAAAGCTATTTAAACTTTAACAGTTCTAAATCAGATAAAGTAATAAGTAAATAAAAGCGTAAAATATATATAAGGATGGGAGCTCAACAGACAAAGCTGCCAAGAATAAGTTTCAAATGAAACAAAAAAATAACCTCTGTGAAAAAAACACAAAAAAAAAACACAAGGAAGAAGTGATGAAACACAGGACCTTGTTCTGAAACTGACCCCCAGCTCCCAGACACCAGAGTGGATCTGACAGATGTCAATTAGAAACAATTCATTGTGTATTAAAATGTTTAAATTCCTTGGCACCCAAAAGACGAACACAATGTGATTCATAAGTTTGTTAAGTGCAAATCTATCAACCTCCTCAGATCTGCAACACATTCTGTGAGGTTTAAAGATGTGCAAAATCATCTGAAGTAGAGAGGTGCAAGTATGCAAATTCAATCTGGAAATTAACTAGATAACATGCTTTTGTTGGTTTGGAAGGAACTCTTACTTCCAACTAAATATGGTCAAATAAGTGAAGGGAAGTATGTTCTGGAATAACAGATGGATGAGGTTTACACTACCTGCAGAATGTAAATGTTCTGTATTTGTATAGTACAGTACCTACAACAAATACTAGAAAGTATAGCAGGTATTAAATCACCAATTCCTGGATTTCAATGCCTTTTATAGCTCATAAAAGTAGTTTGATGCCCTTTTAGCGGTTTCCAAAACATTTGAGTCATCTGGTTTAGGTCGAAACAAGGGCCACAAAATGACAGCAAATACAATTTCATAGGGTCTACATGCAAGACCAAAACAATATGGACACCTTGGAAACGAATTTCTTACCATTTTAAATGGGGCAGTGTGCACATACTGTATGGCTGTTCTCTGGGAGCAGGGAGGCACAAAGGCAGTCGTGGGTTAAAAACAAACAAATAAAACCCCCAGAAAACTCTCCCAATCTGTAAAACATGACCTTCAGCCTCAGACACCAAGTGTAGATAACATCAATGTCAACCATGTTCTACTGACCTAACTGCATTGAGGCCCTGAATGATGCTGTCAACCACATAGCGTCAGGGCTACCCTGTTTACACAGTCTGGTGTAATAAACAAGGACCAATAAACTACACATGCTAGACATACTACACAAGCTATTTGTGTTTCTTATACAGTTTTGAAGTGTAGCTCACTGATCCAAGTGTCTTGACGATCGTAAACTCACTGACTCAAGTCATATTTTTAGTGATGTACACAGTAGTTCTTATTCACTCCTAGTGGAACAAGTGACCACACACACACACACACACACACAAACTGTTAAAGTGTAACATTTTTTTCTGGTTAACAGCTTCAAATTACAGAAAACAGATCATGAGCAGTACCGCAGTACTCTTTGTTAGTTAGGTCCATCTGTTATAGGCAGATCTCCAGAGGACTAAGGGTAAGTAAAAACAGACAGATTAGAACAGACACATGGTCCAGAAAATGGCTCTGTTGCAGTGTCCCGCCATCAGGTTTTTTCAGCCATTAGGTCAGAGGTAAGATGTGTGTGGCATTTTCTTGCCTCTTCTTCTTTTAAAACCCAGATCTGCGTTCCAGGCTTCCTACACTGCAGCATTTCGCAATTTAACCAGACTGCCAAAATGAGTGTAGATGCTCTGCAACACTTCCCAGGTCTACGTCAGTCTGTATCAGGGGCTGCCTGCTTCTACGTCACTCTCGTCAGGAGCGCCTTTGTAAATCGGGCTCTTGGCCTGCAGCGTAGGTTCGTATTTGCGCGGGGATGACTGGTTAACAGCTTCACTGCTATTCTTAATACCGTAGAAGAAGTAAATGGCGAAACCTGGAGGGGAGGAGAGAGCAACAGGAAGTTACAAAACAGTCACGTGAATGTGTGGCGCTAGACATGAAAACACTAATGTTCAACTGTACCGATAAACATCCAGACAGTGAAGCGGCACCATGTACCCAGGTCCAGCTGCATCATGAGGTAGATGTTAACGAAAACACTGAACAGGGGCAACCAGGGAAGCAGAGGGACCTTGAGGGAACAGAGAACAGGGAGGGTTTCAGCATTACTGTATTTTAAAATGGAAGTGGCTCTGCTCGAGATAGTACTAAGAGAAAGAATCAGGGAACAAAGTGTGTCAAAGTAAATAAGTGGCGATCCTCAAACTCAGCGTAAAAATGTCAAAACAAAAAAGAACAAACTCTATACAAAGACAAAACAGAGAAACCATTAAAAGGTCTGTTGTGACGGCTTGATCGTTACCTTGAAGTTGAGAGCCTCTTTGCTCTCAGGCTGCCTGCAGATGATGACGACACAGACGGCACAGAGCAGACTCAAAATGACACAGGACACCACAACTCCTGCATGCCCTGCCAGCAGCTCTGAGAGATAGTTTGCCAGGATAAGACATAGTACGGTGATAAGAATAGCTGCAGGGACAGAAGAAGGGGAAAAAAGTTACTCATAAAAGGTGGCTGCAAGATGTGTGTTACCATATATGTCTTTATTCATTGTTCAAAAAAAGAAGCAAAAACACATTTAACAGCTGACTACAAGCGCCATCTTTAGCTTCTTCTCAGACACTTACAAATAATAGCAGTGGTAGCATAGACAATGGCCCCAGAGAGCTGTGTTGGGGTCTTTCCACTTGGGCAGAAGAGCAGCTTGAAGGTGAAGGTCTCTTTGAGCGGCATCTCCATGCCATACTCGTCGCCGCTGTCACCTCCACTTACAGCCACCTTCTCTCCTTCCACCAGCTCTACCAGCTTCTCCATCTGGCTGGACGAACTCAGGGTGCCTGGCTGGTATCTGTGGAGGAGGGGGAAGCGTGTCAGAGTCAGTAAAAATAATGATGAACTAGAAAACCAGCTAGAAATATTGGCTGCATACAAATAAGGCTTTCATAAAATGAGTGTAATGAGTGATTCGTCGGCAAGAGACATCTTTCAGTTTAACAAAGCCGATACCAACATGAGAATGATACTTTGAGACTGTGCTGGTAGAGATAAAACAGTGCTTACCTTAGGATAAGGACACAGATGGCCACCAGAGAATACGCCAACAGAGTTCCAATGGACATGAGGTCAACCAGAGCTGCCAGGTCGAACAGGAAGGCCATGAGAGCTGTAAGGAGAAGTAAAACCACATCTCTTAGAAAATGTACACCAAGTAATCCGTTTTTACAAACTTTTCTTAAGAGTTAAGTGTTATTGATCCAGAACCGACAGCCAGTCAGACGGGCTGCAAGACAGAGCTGAGACCCTGGCAAACAGCAACAACTCTCAACAGACTTGACAGCATAAGATAAACACAGCCAAAGACTGCTGGCCTGAAGCAATGAATAAACACGACTAGAGAAAAAACAAACACAAACAGGAAGAAGAAAAGACAACATGAAAAATAAGCTAACAAGACGGCTTACCTGCAACGATGCCTGAAGCGATGGTAGCCATGAGGGGAGTCTTTGTTCGAGTGTTTATCTTGGACAGAGAACGGAACAGCAGCCCATCCTCCGCCATGGCGTAGATAACACGGGGCATGGGGAACATAGAGCCTAGGAGACTGAGAGATGAGCAACTGTTAGCATTGTACTTAGATATTCAAAGTTTTACAGCATGGCAATAATTCAGCTCCTTCCTTACCTGGTGGACAGAGCGCAGAGAGAGCCCACAGCCACAATGTATTTGGCAGGAGCCCAGCCGACGTAAGTGAAGGCCTCAGGCAGAGGACTCTGGGTATTCAGCTGGTAGTACGGCATCATAAGGGTAAGAGCAGCGGACACACCAAAGTAGGCGAAAAAACAGATCAACAGCGAAGCCACGATGCCGATAGGTATAGAGCGCATGGGGTTCTTTGCTTCTTCGCCTGAGGACGGGGAGAGAAGAAAAAGAGGATGAATTGATAAGTGTTCCCATGAAACCTAGGGGAACACACGACCAGCTATGTTTTGCAACAGGCGAGGTCTGACGTCTTTCCCATTTCACTCAAAATTGCATAACACAGCCTTCAATAAGGCCAACAGGTGTTACGTCAAATCCTGGCACCGTTCAAAGATGATTTGGAAATATCCCAGAAGCAAAGAATCCATCATCAAGAAGTAGTTCTACTCTTGTGGATCCAAACATTTGTTTGTTTGCAAGTAAGGAAACATTCATAGTAAGAAGCACTTGTAACTGTAAAATAAATAGACAAACCTCTGATCAAGCAATAGCATAGCCAAGATCCTGATTGTATGCATCGGTGTGGCTTTATATCACGGTCTCATATTCCAGTATTTCCATTGAGATTATAATATCTTAATCTTTTTGTGCAACCACTTCTTCTATATTGTTTACCACGGAAACATTAAAACCACTCACTTGTTGTGGCGATGCAGTCAAAGCCCACAAAGGCGTAGAAGCAGGTGGCAGCACCAGACAGGATTCCAGCCATACCAAACGGTGCAAAACCGCCCTCGCCAAATTCCTCCTCAACTCTGAGTGGCAGAAGGAGACAGAGAGAGAGAGAGAGACACACATAGTTTAACAACCAAACACAGACGAGACAGTAAAACTATGAGTTCATCTGCTGACAGAGGCAGCTCTCAGATACTGACTTTAAAGTCCCACTGCTGTTGCTCTTATTTATGAAGCTGACGTAGTCTTCCTCCACCAGGTTCCAGTTGTGTGTGTCCCCCTTGACAAAGCCAGAGATGATAACGAAACCCAGAACCACCAGATTGATGCCTGTGAAGATCTTGTTCACCAGCGCTGACTCACTCGCGCCAAAGGCCAAAAGTCCTGAGGGCACAAGTACAGGAAGAGGGGGAGAGGGATGTAACAGAGAGGAGACAAAATTAATATTTCAACACCAATAACAACATGTCCTGCTTTGTGGGTGGATGTGTTCATGCTTCATTACTTCCCGCATACCATCAGTCAGCGACACCAATCCACCAATTACGTCTTTCTAACACAGCTGCTGGCATGCCACACTAGCTGCAATATTTGTGTGACAACTGTTCTGGCTGTTATGCAATGGTTTTAATGTAATGCTAACAATGGCTATGTTGCCATGGGCTGTCATTGAAACTGATCATTTTAAATAAGACAGTATTTACTTTAGGCTAATTCAATGGGTTGCTTTTAAAAACTGGTTCCCCAACCTTTTAGGCTTGTGATCCATGGGAAATGTCTATTTCACAGGTTACATTTGTCTGTGAGTTGCAAGGCAAATTCTAACAAAGATAGATGTTCCTTACTCTGAATGTTCACTTAAAAATTTACAGAATAGTGTATGAATGAGAATTTGTTTTATTTTTTTTTATTTCCCCCTTGTATCATCTTCCAGTCTCTCATTTATTATGTAACCCCCATAGAAGAACCTGCCCTACAGGTTGGGAACCCCTAAGAATAAATAATGATGAGCTAACTCACCAGTGAGCAGCAGGATGAGGACAAGGGCGAACAGGTCGGGGTATTTTGCCAGGACCTCGCCTGGCACATTAATTGTCATAGACGCTTTAAAGAAGCTAGAGATCTTTTGCTCAACCAGGTTGTCAAAGGTGGAGCTCCACGCCCTGGCCACGCTGGCCGTACCTAAGAGAAAACAGAAACTTACATAAATCAATAATGTGGTGACAGGAAATGACACACAGTTCTCTATATTCTTGCTTAGGATTTTAGCACAGTAACAAAATGTACTTGAACAGCAAACATAAAAAAAAAAACTAAAAAAAACACTGCAACAACTCTACCTGACACTTCAGAAAGCTCACCTATCACATAGGAAAGGATGAGGTTCCACCCTGTGATGAAGGCCCAGATTTCTCCAACTGTCACATAGCTGTAAAGGTAAGCAGAGCCTGTTTTGGGGACACGGGCGCCAAATTCAGCATAGCACAGGCCAGCCAACATGGAGGACAGAGCAGCGATGAGGAAGCAGAGGACAATAGCGGGTCCAGCCTTCTCCCGGGCGACCTCGCCAGCGAGGACATAGACACCGGCGCCGAGTGTGGCGCCCACCCCCAAGGCGATGAGGTCCAGGGTAGACAGGCAGCGGGCGAATTGGGACTCTTCTCCAGAGCAGTTTAATGCCCTGCGACGCAGCAGTGTTTGTCCAAAGTTGGACAGCTTGCTGGCCATATTTGCTGTGACTGTGTGTGGGCGATGAACCAGGCTATGTGTTTTAAATCCTTTTAGTGTGGGCGTGTGTGTGATTGACACAGCTTAAACACAACACGTGTGACTGGACTGAGAGTTTAAGTACTTTGGGCAGATGGGTAGGTAAACCAAGTACTTGTTTATTATTGGTCCTTTAGTGTAGGTGTGTTGACTTTTACTTGAGTGGAGAGAACAGGAAGTGGCAGGTCTGTGGTCACAGTATTTTGCAGCAGCAGATTACTACCTGTGAGAAAACAAGAAAACAAGAGCTCAAAACAGAGAACTATTCAGTAACTGCCAAAGCTTACACACAGCTGTGTTTGGCACTATGCAGTTGGATTATAGTATCCTTTCTTCCAGCAATGAACATTTTCAAGGAAAGGTGTTCAAACTGCAATGTTCTCTTCCCTTCTGGGCTGTACATGAAAACTTTGTAGCAAATGTTTACACTTTGTAGAGTTTTTCATACTCGACTCTTTTAAAGTGAATGCCACTAGAGATGTTGAAAACTCTGTAATATTCTTCTCCTCTTCAGCAAATACCCCCGAAAAAAAAAACGAGATAGCCAGTCAGTCGGCAGGTTTATAGAGTAAAAAGACATTTCACTACATAAGAACCTGTACAAATAACAGTTATGAAATTTCCAGGAATTCATACCTCTTACCACATAGTAACACGAGTAATCATGAGGTGCAGTGGGGCACAGCGAGATCATGAAGACAAAAAAAAACTTAGAGTTATCCTACTAGGCTTAAACCTAACCTTAATTTTTCCTTGACAAATAAATAGTCCATAGTACACGCCCCTATAAAAACAAAAGAACACCTAGTCCAGTTCCTCCCCACTCCCTTACTGAGAGATGGGGCACTCTGCGACTTTGTGTTATGTTTTTTTTAGCAGACAGAGGCTGACAGGGATACGCCTGGGAAAGCAGGAGGCTGCAAAGGGACGATAATGGTTGAAATCTGCAAGCTAATATCAACAAGGGACAGGGGGGAGGACAGCGTGAACCAGCAGCTCGATAAGGTGAACCAGCTGCACTGGGACACGGTTGATATACAGATAAAATACACTGCATAAAAACAGACACTTACTCTATATAAATGTACTGTAATTCTTAAATGACTACTGAATTTTTTCCTTTAAAAGTTTTACTTTAACCATACTGTATTAAAAACTGCATTTTTTTATAAAATAAAAAATTAAAGGACACTGGCAAAACATTTTACGTCAGTAGTAGCGAGCTTCTAAAGTTCAGGAAAGGGGGAATGATAAAGATAACGTGTGTACGCACAAACACATGGGAACGGTTCATAACAGGCCAAGGACACTGACCAGGACAGATATGTTTTTTTGTTTGTCCTTGGAGGCAGCCAGATTCCTGGACTGATCAATACACGTGGACAGGATCCTCTTTTTATTATATATATATAAAAAACACTCCACGCTGTGGGATGTGGAGAGAGAAATTCTGGTACTTAACACAAGTTAGCAGGTGGGTTTACTCCTGCGTGACTACAATAGATTATACACTTCTCTATTTACTGTAAGACTTATTTCACAAATTAATCTTTCCACTGTAAATTTTTTCTGACAAAGAAAAGTCCTGAGCCAAGACTCGACATTCTGTAGGTTCTGGACTCTAATTTTGAAGGCTTAAAAAATATCACTGAATAAAAGTTGACTTCATAACTTTTGGACTTTCTGGTGTCTGTGAAGAGCCACAGTGCGCTGCTCAGACCAAATCTTTGCACAGCATGAGTGCGTGTGTATAAGCAAGTGTGAATGTCTGTCAGTAAGGTAAAGTTAACAATCCAACACTTGACTGTCAAAATAGCTCAGAGCACCGTGTGTTGGCTTAGTATGCATTTTCAATATTACACTAGGTAATGTCTGATTTTGATTACATTACAAATAGTGCCCTGAACTTTGCTTGACATTTTGGTGGGTCAGCTTTGCAGCTGTTCCCATGAAAGGCTTGAAATTAGGATTCAGGATGCCGAGTAGTGTCAAAAGGCAACGCTGCACAGAGTCTGAAGCTATTAAGGCAATGACACCTGACTCCACGGAGCGAGTGCTGAGAAGGCGGACGGACATTTCAGGCCTATCAGTCACTTTGCCCGGTCAGGCAGCAAAGAGAAGAACTGAAACACTAACCCAGGAACACAGACCAGGCCGACTGATGGCACAGTGTGGACGTCTACCTGGATCAGAGGTTAGGCAAAATGCCCATTCGCACTCATTAAACATGTGAAACTAAAAGATGTGGGGAGAAAAGGTGCCACTGGAAAGACTACCCTCGGTTGTGCTGTCAAGTTGTTTTCTTACCTTGTTTCCAGTTGAAGTTAAGCTTCAGGTAGAACATGCTTGCTCCCTTTTCCACTTAATGAAACAAAATGTGGTATGTAAAATACAAAGAGACGTTTCAGGTCACACAGTGTGTTGGACGTTTAAAAAAAGAAAAAGGAAAAGCTGTAGGTTATTGTATGGTCTACTTTTGGCTTGTTCATAGCGCACAGGATACGAGCCCTCACAATGTTTCAGTACACTTACAATATTCTATTAATACCGTAAAAATAAACTATTTCATCAAAGCACTTTTAGTCTTAACCATTTCAAAAGGGAATATCCTGTCTAGTACAGTTAAAGTGTTGGGAGAAAAGAAAAGACAAACACTGTCAAACAATGAAATAAAGACAACACAGAGCACCTGACAACAGCAATAATAAACATTCAGCTCTCTGAAGACTGATGGGAAACTGGTATCTGGTGGACAGCTCCCACTCCCCACTTGGTGTGACATTCCAGTAGCATTTTCCACTCGCACACAAGGAACTGAGATCTGAGTGAGTCAATAAACATTTACTGCTAAACTACTGTGCCCAGCTGGCTGTGATCTCCTCAGGGGTTCACCCAACAATCCACATACCTTCACTAAGCAGAACAAAAGGTGCTCAACTGGATCTATGCAAACTGTAAAAACACACCCACAGAAGTTATCTCATTCACAACTGAAAATGAATCCAACAAATAAAAATCAAAAGGTCTCTGGATTTTCCTTTCAAGGCAATATTTTCTTTGACAGACTAAGTTGTGGCTACCTTACAGTTACAGAAATGCAGGCCTGCTTGCTGTATGACCTCACTTAAGGGTGGTCTCATTAAAGAGATGCTAGAGGCACCTTTACGCTAGGCCGATGCCTCCGTCACGTCAGCTAGTTGCTAATCTTTTCCTTGTGGTTTTCACGAGGGTACCTTTTTACGTAAGTGGGGCAGGTTTATACCAGTTTGCATAGGAGGTGTGGCTCACAAATGTGCTCCACTGCATAACACACACACACGAAACGGACTAGTGTCACACATGCAGCCATTTTAATGTTCCTGATATTAAAATTAATACACATGACTTTCGGTGAAGTGTGAACAAGGAAACAAGTAGATTTCTGTTTTGTTATCTGGTAGTTACTTTCTTCATCAACAATATTTTTATTTTTATAATATGGATTTAATTCAAAGGCTCTTTATCTTGGAGGACTATGAGCAAAGACTTGGCCAAGAGTGCTCCGGTTACAACAGGCTTCAGGGATAATGGTCCTGTTGCTTGACTTAGCGTTGCTGCAACTGCTGCCACAAATTCTAAGAGGATTATTTGGGGGAAGTAACAAACCTGCTAACCTTATTATAGCTTGTTGCAGTAGCCATATAAACAATGCATGGCTTTGTTTTGACTGTGCCATCATTGACAACAATAATAGCACAGCTCTATTGTTACATGAACAGAACAGCAATGTTATTTCTGCTACATCAGAGTTGTCAAATGTAATTATCAAATGGCCAATTGGAAAGTTGCCTTTCGCCACAAAGTTCCCCACAAATCTGCTCCTAGGTTAAAACAAAAACATAAAGCCAAATCACTCAAATGCTGCACCTCAGTCCTGTTTTTTTTCAGAAAAGTAATAAAAAAAATTTATTCTAGGCACCTGAAGCGTTTGTGTCGAGACTTAAAACTTCCATTTTAAGAAAGGGTGATTTTGACTGAATTTGACCACAATTCACCTGCTGTGCTGCTAGTGTGCAAGTATGTGTAAACAGACCCAACACTGACACCGAACTGAACGACCCTATAAGTCACCTGTCTGAAAACCACCACTCCTGCCAAAAACTGCTCTCGCTGCAAGATGGAATGTGACAGTCTAGCAGTCTGTGCACTTTCCCATGACCAATGCCAACACTGCTAACATTAATAGCCAAGAGAACAGAAGCACAAATCTACACATCATAAAGAAGGTTTAACCTGTGTCAGCTGGACACCTAAGCACACCAAGATGTGGCTACGAAGCTGCACCACAGCACAGGTCAGACAGGATGAGGCCACAGACAGCATGTATTTTATCCTCCAACGACACAAGTGTGCTCCGACTAATTTGAAACCCAGCTTCTCTGAGACATATAAAAATATAACTTTGAGGGTTTGGTGCACACCCTTCTTGCACAACACACTTTTCGGCCATGTGCTCAAGAGGATGTAGCAATTGCAGTGCAACAGACCACCTCCTACTGTACACATTAAATATGTTTGGGCTGAATAAAATACTTGTATTTCTGGTGATGCTATGATAAGAATTGGAAATGTTCAAGACGGTGTAATAGTACCATAGACTTTCTACACATAGATTACTATGCTTTTATACATAGCTGCCAGCTTATTAGGTACAACTAGCTCAAACTAACAGCCCTGCATTTAATTGTACCTTCAATGAATGTAGGGAGTTTTTGTCAAAATCACAGTCATGTAAACTTACCTCTCTGTTTAATGCAACTGCATCAACATGACCATAAAGTTGCATCAGTACCAATCAAAAAAAGTTATTACAACCTTCAATGTTTTGCTAAGCCCAGAGCTTGGCAACTGCACATGTACTACATTTCCCCTCTGAGTGAGTTAAACCAAAAAAAAAAAATCTGATGCGTCTTAAAGTGCAA